AAAAAGACCTTTTTAAAATCCTAATCAATAAAAAATAAATGTGATAAATGTTTATATTTGTACAAAGTCGTAACGATTAAACAAAAGACAAAAAAAAGATAGTAAAAAAATTAAGTCCGTTATTGATCTGAAATTCTGAACTGATAACCAAATAACATCGAACCAAAAGAGTCTGAAAAACTCGGCTTTAATTAATTAAAAATTCCGGTTTGTCCGTTTTTATGTCTTACCAAACCGGTACGGCTTAACAATCTTAAATCTTGATTTAAGGCTTAAGCAGCGAAGTTAATACTTAATAGTCAGTTACTCCCTAACGAACTCGAAAGATTCCAAAGATTCTCTCCATAACGACTTCGTCGCCGATTTGATTTTCCGATGATCACCTGAAGCCACCTTCTTCTTGTTCTCGCCACCATCGTGGTCTCTTCCGCCGCATCTCCTCCGTCGATTTCCTCTCTGCCGTCGACTACCAACTCGGAATTCCTCTCTCCGCCACCGTTAACATCCCCAGAGATTTCGACGCCGTCGACGTATCCTCCTACAACGGCGGTGCTACTTTCCGACGTCTCTCCCTCGCTTACAACATCGTCGCTCATTCACCGATCACCGTCGCTCGTTCTTGCTTCCAATGGCTCTGGTATGATTCTGACTCTACCGTCGCCGTCGAGTATATCTCTGTTTCTCCTTCGAGTTTTGTTTTGTTCAAGACTCCGTTAAACTTAGTCTACACTTGTGTAAAGTTTTTGACGTCGCACATTTTCAACAGGCTCCTTTTTGCTTCCGTTAGCTCTGACTTTACATTCCGGCGACTTTTTCCGGCGTATTGACAGTCAAGATTCCACTCACGGCAAGTAAGTAAATCTTCTTTTCCTTTAATTTTCGACTTTCGAGATTTTTGAGACTCAAGCATTGTTTTTTCCCAAGATTCTGTGATATTCTTTCGGTACATAATCGCTAATAGTTGTGTAAAGTTTTTCACAACGATCAATGTAGAGCTAAGTGATGCAGCTTGAAGTTTTTGTTATTCAAAGATTATGTGAATCCCGAGTTTGAGCCATTAATGGCGAGTATGTCTCTGTTTTTCACTTTCTTTCAAGATTAAGACTCAAAGTTTAGTTTTTCCTTAAGACTCTGTGATCCCTCGTGCATAATTTCTATAGTTATGTGAAAAACTTGGCACATTTTTCAGCAGGCTCGTTTTTGTTTCCGTTGGCTCTGGCTTTATACTGATCCACATTCCGGCGAATTTTTCCGGCGTATCTACCGTCAAGAATCCTCTCACGGCAAGAAAGTAACTCTCTTTTCCCTTCAAGTTTTCTTCTTTCGATTAATGTAGACTTGTAGTTATGATATAAAAGAAGAAATATCGATTTGGTACAGTAGTAAGGAAGTTATTAGAATCAAAATGAACTTGTCTAATGGCAAAATAGATTAAAAAAAAGTTTGCTTGTTACTGGCAGTGTATCTACTCTGTAGTCTGTTTGCATGTTACTGGCACTCTGTACACATGCTTGTTTATTATATAGGTTTCTATTTGTAATTCCAATTAAATCTTATTGTGTGTTTCAGGTATGGACTCAGATATACCACCATGTGTCCGATTCTCTCCCAAAGACAATGAATTGATACGCGTTTTTCTAGAACCGTGGATAAACAATGTTGCGATTGACAAGTGCCTCATCACCAACGTAGACATCTACACACACCATCCAGATTTGCTTGCACACATTCCGAGCGGGTACTTTCCCCAAGGTGAATATTGGTACTTTGTCCTTCGGACATTGAAAGGAGCATCCAACAAGATCAAGCGAACTGTGGGAATGGGGAACAAAAACGGGCGATGGGTACATGGAAGGTCAACTACAATCAGTGAGGGAGGAGTGACTATAGGGCATAAGCAGAAGTTAGTCTTCAAAGACAGTCAAAATATGCTCACGGGATGGCATCAATACGAATACAGCCTTCACTCTCCACAATTACAACAACTGAACGTCGTGAGTCATCTTATATATAAAATGGAAGATGATGCTGTCCTAGCTCAAGCCTTAGATATTATGGAGATTGACGCACAAATGGAGGCACCGGTGGAAAATGCTATTCTAAATGCAAACGCAGAAAATTCTTTTGAAGCAATTATGGAGGATTTTGGAGCACTTTTGAATCCGAACAACATGGAGATTGATTGATGCAGCATGATATTACTGTAAGCTTTCCTTCAAAGAGAGTCACGAGCTTTGCACATTTCTTTGGCTGATTCTTCTCTGACTGTAGATTCCAGCAGAGTTTTTAATATTCTTTGAAACTCTCAAGTCTTTTTTTTGTAAAATGTACATCAGTTTTATGGTTTCTGTATGGTTTTCACAGTGAACAATACAAGGAACAGAATCAATCTCTTGAATCTGAAGATTAATGTGTGATAATATGAGATTGCGTTAGCAACAAAAAAAAACAGAGCTTCATCGTAGGGACACACATGATTGTGAATCTCTTATTTACAAGTTGCCTTCTCTTCAAATTAATTTGCTCCTTCTCCTCCCTCTAGTCTGTAATCAGAATCATGTTAAGCAAATTAAGTGGCACTGTGGCAGTTACCAACATGAGTGATTAAGGTCTTAAAAGTGTTGTCGACGACGAATGTTTGAGTTCTTGAAACATAATCCCAGAAGAAAATAGCAATCCCTTTCAACGAACAGAGAAAAAAAACTCAAGAACATGTGAATGCATACAATGTCTAAAAATCACACTTAACTCTCTGTTGGATGACATTGGAGATACTCTTAGTGAAAGAGAGTTTTCGTGTATGAAGGGAAGAGAGAGACTCTAATATTCAGAGAAGGTTTCGGTTTAAAATCAATGCTTGAATTAGAAGAGGTAACCGAACAACCATTTAGGCTTCTTAATGGGCTTCGACTCCGACAAGAGAGCAAAACTGGAGTTGTGTGTGTTTTTGTGATTCGCTCTGAATATTCCCCCAAATCCAAACAAGAGTCATGAAACGCAAGGAGATAGAAGATGAGATCTCTCTAGATCTAGTTGTGGAGATTCTCACCAGATTGCCATACAAATCTCTTATCAAGTTTCAATGTGTTTCCAAGATTTGGTATTCCATTATCCGGAGCAAAGGATTCATCGATTCCTACTTATCCATGTCCTTGACACAATCGCAGTTGTTCATAGTCGCTTTCACCAACGGTGTATTCGCCAGAGGTGAGGAGAGGCGTTTCTTCATCTTCTCGGGAAATGAA